ATTGAGATTTGCTCTTTATGATATTTGAAAACTATGATTCAAATTTGAGCTTATTTGGAGTAGATTTGGATGTTGAATCGTGTGTTGGATTGTTGAAATTCAAAGAACAAGTTTATGTTTTATAACTTCAGATTTTGAATCTAATTTTGAATCTAAAGTTGTATTGAAAAATTAAATTGCTTAAGATTTCAGATTTTAAATCTGATTTTGTATTGAAAAATTGAACTACTTAAGAGTCGAATTTCTGAAGTTGTAATTGAAACATATAGAATCAGATGCGAAATCTGAAGTTTCTTTGAAGAGCTTGAACTACTTAATATTTGAATTTATGAAGTTGTAGTTGAAAGGTAGGAGAATTTCATATTTGATTTCTGAAGTTGCATTGAAGAGATTAAACTACTTTAGATCCGAGCGGGTAAAGAAAATAGGGACTAATAAGTAAAGGGAAAATAAAAGAAAATGGAAGATGCTATTGCAGGGAATTAAACCTTGACCGTGAGACTTCAGAAGCAATGGTGAACCACGACACCCAAATGTCATCCGTGTATTTTGGGTGCCACTTTATGTATATATATATATATATATATATATATATATATATATATATATATATATATATATATATATATATATACACTTAGCGAGAGCTTTTGCTGAAGCGTGCGGGTGTCGTACTATCCTTTTTTTTAACAGAACAAAGATAATATATTAAACATTACAGAGTACTATTAGTTACATCATTAAAGAAATTACAAGCCTTGAGGACATTCAAATTCCCCATCTCGACCAAACTGCAACATACATTTGTACTAATGTTTTTAACCAAATACACATAACCATACTTATCCATTGCTAAGTTATTTAAAACAAAAGGGACAGGATTATCAAAAAGCAGGTGTTTTCTTGCATGCTTGAGTGCTTCCTTAGCCATCTTATGAGCTACCTTGTTTCCCTCCCGAAAGTTATGGCTGATCTTCGGTTGCTTCAGCTGGTGCATTAACCAGCTGCAAATAACAATAGTCGAGTTGTAAGGGACACAATTAGAATGTAATATTTTGATTACCTCTGTTGCGTCCGTTTCAACCACAGTGATGTATAGCCATGAGTTAGAGCAATTGTGAGTCCTTCCTTTAGGGCTTCCGATTCAGCTTAAAGGGGTGAGCTTGAGGGACTGGAGTGTTGATAACCCATTATCCAGTTTTCCATATGGTCTCTGAATACTCCACCCATGCCTCCCATGTTCGTATTTTCTTTGAAGGCTCCATCTATGTTTAGCTTAAAATAATTTGGAGGTGGTTTGTGCCATGCAGCCTCAATTGTATGAGAATGGACAATTAAATGTTCCTTTGTGGTGAGGAGCTTATACTCTAAAGCTAGAGAAATTGCATGAGAAGGGTTGAAATTGGAGGTCATGTTAGAATGATTATTATTTTTTCCGTTTAACCAAATACACTACAGGACAAATGGGTAAAGATCCTCCCATTTAAGGTAGGGGAGGGGGTGAAAGAATTTAGGTCTCTAATATTATGGACCCAGTGTGTACCGCTTTGACCGGGAGAAAAACTTAAACCTAATGTAGTCCAATAATTTTTAACAACTTTACAAGCTGTGAAGATGTGTTCAATGGTTTCAGATTTCCTTTTACACACAGGACAAAGAGGATCAATGTTCAAACCTATATGTTTTAAGTATGAGCGAGTGGGCAGCATATTATGAAGGCATTTCCACAGCAAAAATTTTATCTTGTTTGTGCAATGAGCATCCCAAATACATTTAAAATCCACCGAGTTAATATCCTTTGATTGAATTATTTTGTAGCAAGTTTTTGACGAGAAAATACCTTTTCCTGTTAATTCCCAGTAACAGGAGTCATGGGCATTATGGAGAGGGTGAATGGAGAGATGGCATTCTTAATGTGTTGAGGAAGCTCAAAGAGAATTTTTGATAAGTCCAAATTATTATTAGACCAAATATCTTTGATAGTAAGGTTATTGCTGGGAAAAGTGAGAGGACCCTCTATTTGATTTCTTAGCAAAGAGGATTTTGGGATCCAATTTGTTTCCCAGATGTTCATAGAAGAGTTGGTATGTGGGATCCATTTTAAACCTTTTTGCAAACTTCCCACCCTTTTGCTACACTTTCTCAAATAAAAGAAGAGGTATTTAAATTTTTGGATGAACCATAAAGTGAGGTAAGAATTTGAGACCAAGGAAGTTTGGATTTGTGTATGAGTCTCCATGAGAGGTTAGCTAGGGTTACTAGGTTTTTTTCTTTTGCTAAGTGGATGCCAAGCCCCCATTTGTCCTTACCCTTTGTCAAAGTATCCCAAGAGACTAGGTGAATTTTTTTTTGAGTTCATAGTGAAACCCCAAATGAAATTTTTCTGGATTTTGTGAATGTGTTTGGTAATCCTAGTGGGCAGGTAGTTGTACGGCATGACGTGGTTGGGAATGCTGTTTAGGGATGCCGCTGCAAGAGTTGTCCTCCCTGCCATACTAAGAAAATTTGATTTCCAAGAAGCCAATTTGTTTGCTAGTTTATCAAGGATGAACTGGTAATCAGAAGGTCAAGCTTGGTGTTTGTAATTGGAAAACCCAGGTATTTTCCAAAATTATTACTAATTTTCATATTAAAAAGTTTTGACGAAGCTTTTGAGGTATGAGTGGGGCAGTTTTTGGAGACAATGATTTTGGACTTTGACAAATTAATATTTTGGCCTGACAATTTGCAAAAAGAGTTCATGAAATTGAGAATTGATTTAGGGGATTTTTTATCAATCTTGTGCATTAGGGTGAGGTCATTTGCGTAGAGTAGGTAGGATAACTGGCATTGGTTCCTTCCCATATTAATGGGAGACCAGGTACCAATATCTACTTGATGGTTGATTTGGATGGACAACATTTCCATACAAAGGATAAATATATAAGGAGATAAAGGATCTCCATGCCTAATACCTGTACTAGGAGAGAAGAAATCACTCTTACTACCATTAACTAAGACAGCTATCTTGTTGGTTGTGATACTATCCATAATTAAGGTAGAGATTTTTGTAGGAAAATTAAAATGACGAAGGGTTCTGTAAATAACTTAATCGGTCGAAAGCCTTTTCTAGGTCTATTTTCATAACTAGGTTAGCCTTTGCACCTTTTTGTTTGTGCATTTTAAGCATTAGTTCCTGAATTATAATAGCATTGTCACTAGTACGTCTACCCTTAATGAAGCTAGCCTGGTAAGGGCAAATTAAAATTTTTTAAAAAGGGTTTTAGTCTATTGGTTTTTTAGATTATTTTATAAATTGTGTTACAAAGCCTAATAGGTCGGAAATTTTTCAAATTATTAGCGTTGAGAATATTTGGGATAAGGCAGAGGTAAGTTTCATTTATCCTCTCTGGTAGTTTGCCTGATTCAAATGCTTGATGGCAAAGATTTGTGACAGAGGTTCTTAAAAGCTGCCAATACTTTTGGAAGAAGAACGGATGAAGATCATCTGGCCCGGGTGATTTAAAAGGTTTAAAATTGAAAATTGATTTTTTGAGTTCTGACTGGGACAAAGAATTGTCTAAGGAAGATAAGTTCCAAAATTTATAACTAGGGAGGTCATTTATAATAGCTGACCAGTCAGAGTAAATGTGGTCCGTAGTGAAAATTTGCTTAAAATAATTGTTGGTGTGATCCATGATTTCCTGAGGATCGACTATCCAGTTACCCTCCATATCTTTGAAAAATACAATCTTATTAGTTCTTCTATTATTTGTGGCACAAACGTGGAAGAATTTTGAGTTCAGTCCCCTTCACTGAGCCAGCTTACTCTAGAACGTAACTTACGTCGTACTATCCTTACCTATAAGGTAGATCCTACCCTGGTTATATAGATAAATTCTATTTTCTTCTATTATATTTTTGTATTTATATTTATTTATCTAATAAATATGTTATCCATATGATCTTAGAAGAAGATTAGGAGGAATGAATTTTCTTAGGCTTTTGGATTGTTTTTTATGTGCCTTGTATTTCATAGTTTTTATAAGTTTTTTATTGACATGATGACATAAAATTATTAATTTATGACCCAAGTTTCAATTATTAATGTAACCTCTGTGCTACTTAGTATTTTTTGTGTTTCTCTGTAATTTTATTCAGATATATGTTATTTAGTTATATTATTTTCATGCCAATTTTGGTTGTGTAATTTTTTTTGAGATGAGAATAAGCTGACAATTCAAAGAAGAGAATAAAATGGAATTGAAATGGTGAGAATAACCCTAAGCTTGATGACTAGATTGATTTTTCTTATTCAAAAACTATGGTTTTCATAAATGTTCCTAAATATTTTCCCTTTCGAATTTGCAAACAATTGCAAATGTAATACAAGGTTAATATATATGGATATTATCACAAATATATCAATGCTAAATTGATAAGAAAAAAAAAATTAAAAAACGGGCATATTGTTCTTGTATACATATTTATTTGACGCGAGGCATACGTGCAATGCATGTACCCTAAAATAGTTTATTTAAAAAGTCAGAAGCTTATATTATGTGGGTGGTTAATTTAATGTAAAGGTGGCAAACACGTGGATTGGGCGGAATATGGGCGGCTAAAAAATGGGTAATACAAAAATGGATAAATTATCTAACACAACCCATATTTAATACGGATAGGGAATCGATTAACCGGCGAATAATATGGGTATCCATATATCCATGGCTTGTTGAATATGATCACTTTCAGTAGAATTTCTAGTCTCCCAAAGTTGAGAAACTCCCAATTTGAGTCTTTAAAATTATAAAAGTTAAACCATTAGTTATCCATTTTCTAAGTGGATAATATGGTTGTTATCTATATTTGACCTATTTTTTCAAAATTTTATCATCCGTCCATTTTTTAGTTAAAAATACGGGTGAAAAATTATTTATTTAATCCATTTTGCCACCACTAATTTAATATTGAAGCTTCTCTCCTCCCATGTTGTGGCATAAATTTATACGGATTGAACTATTTAATAATTTCAACTTACATTTAAGACCACAACTCAGTTTAGCAATTTGGTTTGGTTCATCTCTACCCCCATCCATTTCTAGATAAAACCGAAAAGCTTATGGCTGAATCTCAAGTTAGCGGCGAAGATAGAGGAAGGTTGTGGACACTCAAAGGCACAACTGCACTTGTTACCGGTGGCACTAAAGGCATTGGGTGGGTGACAAATCTTTTCAATGTACTCATCTATTGATGATGAGATAGCTAATAAAGGTAATTTTATTGATTCTTATGTTATTTTAGGTATGCTATAGTTGAAGAATTAGCATATTTTGGAGCAACAGTATACACATGTTCACGTAATAAAAAAGAGCTTGACGAATGCTTAGAGCAATGGATGAGCAAGGGATTTCAAGTAGCTGGTACTGTATGCGACCTTATGTCACGTTCCGAGAGGGAGAAGCTTATGGACACTGTTGCCCTTTATTTCAGTAGGAGGCTCAACATTTTGGTATGTACCAAAGTAAAGCATTAGGGTATTCGATGCAGATCCAAGATTTAAGTTTTATGAGTTTAACTTTTAAAAAATATTGTGTTGAACTTGTTAACTTTTTAAATTATATGTTCATATCTATTATTTGTTGCAATTATAATATATTTTTACACATAAATTATGCTTTACTTAAAAGTAGTGGATTCAGATTACCGCTAAATCGCCCCTGTAGATAGATATTTCTTTGCTAAATGTCGAACTACGTATACTGTCGAAGAAAATTAATAGTCCAATAAGAACTCTACAACCGAATGATCATCAAATGCTTAGATCTGACAATGAATGATGAATGTGACCCATTTTGTGATCCACGCGACTCAGACAAGAATACTATATCTTACCCATCCAGTGTTGTTCTGATTGAATTTCAAAGATCTCGCTCGCCGTCAAGAATTAGCGAACGGATGACAGGATTTGAGGGAACTCTTGAAATAGACTAACCCGCTTACTTCCCCAACCCTGTAAAAAGTTTTCTTTTGAATGCATGTTGATCTACCTTTGTTTCTTCTCCTTCTAATATGTAATTATTCATCTAACTTGTCGTATTAAATTTCCCTATTGCCAAAATTTTAGGTGAATAATGCTGGGGTGATTACATATAAGGAAGTTATAGACTTGAGTGCGGAGGATTACAACACCATGATGGTTACTAACTTTGAGGCCAGTTACCACTTATCTCAACTTGCATACCCCCTGTTGAAGGTATCAGGAAATGGAAATCTCATCTCCATCTCTTCAATTGCATCTCTTGTAGCGTTACCAGCAATGTCCGTGTATTCTGCAACTAAAGGTAAAATTTAATACCATCGTAGATTTCAATCAAGAACAGGGGCAGCTCAAACACTAAGACCAGCAATTGCTTTGAACCATTGAAACTGAATTCCGTGATAGACATACAATTTTGTAGATAAAATAGTTTTCTAACAATGTTGATTATTAGACAATAAGTTTCTGAAAAAATCTTTGAGTTTTATACATAATGGACCAACCCAAAGAGAGTAGTTGGATAACATGTTGATAATGAGACTTAACAAGCAGAGGCGGATCCACGATTTCAAGAGGATGGGTGCACTATTGTGAAGAAGAGAATTTAAAATTATATTTGACGAGTTTAACTTTAGTATCTACCATGGACTCACTACACTTTTGAAATCATAGGTACAAAACTAAAGTTTTCTAAAATATTTAGTGATTTTACGTATATATCTATACTCCGCGCCAAAAACAAGACCGTGTGGAGTGAGATTTAAACAATCAATTTCACTCGTAGAGGTGCACTATTGAGAGTCAGGGGTTAAAATATAGTAATAGAAAGTTTGGGGTAGTTAGTTGAATAAGAAAATAGGCTGTTATATAGTACAATAAATATGGAAATCAGATTTACTTGTACATAACCGACCTTCTTCCTAACTGCTAAGCTCAAGCTTTCTCTCTCTAGATTCTTCCAATTCAATCAATGAAAATTGTTCTTTCATGTGTCATGTAGTGTTTCAATTGCTCAATCTAGCTCAAATTAACAAGCACCCACTGATTATTGCACCATAGGAGTCTTTGAGGTTCACGCACGTATAATTAAGTAATTCTCAAGAAATATAACATTTTTATATATGGTTTAGGGAAAGGAGTATGGGTTCACGTGAACCCATACCCTAAGACTTAGATACGCCTCTGTTAACAAGTTCCTTAAAAAATAATTTAGAGTTGATCATTTTTTATCTTTTTGGTACCAAGTCATTTTTTCACTTCAACATGTAATCTAAAAATTATTTACAAGCAACTAAATACTCTATTTAGTGATAAATTTTTTTTAGATCAATTGATTAGGATTTGAGAAGTCATTCTGTTAACCTTGTATGTTTCTTAAAATATTACCTAATTAAGCTTGGTGAGGTTATCCACTTATGCTGGTGAGAGGTAGCGGGTAGTCGATTAATGGTTTATCGGTGCGTACTTGGCAACCCAAATATCAATGCTATAATAAAGATTGAGATAAAAACATATAAATTTAATAAAAAAGAATAATGCCTCTTATTAAGGTTTAGGTTTAAACCACTAATTTCATTGAGTGGCCCTATTAAATAAAATATCATTTCGTGATCTTGCCTAATTAAGTAGTAATTGTTTTCGTGTTTTAAGGGTCAATGTTTTTTCTTTTATTTTTTATCTTTGCAATAAGGTTCCATTTGTTGGAAGATTGCCATGGTTACTTTGTTGACCCTCAAACAAATTTTTCCGAATTAAAATCTATTGAGTAAGAATTTGGGAGGAACATGTTTAGTGTTTCATGACTTGTAACTGTCAGAAATTTTATGTTTGACTAGACATGTGGAAAAACGAAAAAGAGAAAGAAAAAAGGAGTGTTTATGTTATGTATATATGACTTATTGATTTTCTCTTTCCCACGGCATAGCTGCAATGAATCAAATGACAAAAAACATGGCATGCGAATGGGCTAAGGATAATATTCATGTTAATGCAGTTGCACCAACAGTCATTGCAACCCCTCTCATAGAAGAAGCAATTGTAAGTTGATTGCTTCTCTGCGTCTCTTCGTTTCTGCGGATTTTTACATAAGCATGAAAATAGATTATAAAAATTCAATGAAAATAGATTTATCATAAACTATTATTGCAGAAAAATCCTGTGCAAAAGGAACAAATTGACAAGTATATTGTTCGAACTCCATTGGGCCGACCAGGAAAGCCTAATGAGATTTCATCTATTGTGGCATTCCTTTGCTTCCCGGCTGCTTCATACGTCACAGGCCAGATCATATTTGTTGATGGAGGATATACGGCAAATGGCTTTTAAAAATTAGTCAGTACGCCAATAAGGTTATCTATTTTAAAGTTGTGTGACATATGGATTAGGTACCTAAAGTTTGATGAGTTGTGCTAATAAATTATGAGAGCTGCATTTTAATATAATTTACTATGTTTGGTTTGCAATGTATAAACTTTAATTTTTATGTTCGTACAATTATTTAGAAGATGTATCTTCCCCGTTGTGAAAAGAATAATAAAGTCAATGGAGGAAATTATTGTTGGGGTTGAAGTGGTATTGTGAATGGGAAATGAGGGAAGAAGGTGAAAAGGTAACTTTGGCTTTTGCACTTTGTCCCTCGTTGGTTAAAGACAAGTATTTTGTTGGGTTTAAATATAGAAGCACTTCCTTAAGCTCTAAAAAGGAGCTAAAAGGAAGGGGCCTCGCGCCGTCGTCGCTCGGCTTCGGCTTCGGTCAATTGATTTGATTGACTTAAATTTCTGCTTCATCTCCTTCTTCTTTCTGCATCATTACTTTCAAAACAAAGTAAGTCCGTCGTGTGATTTGCTCCATTATTTTGACTTTGCTGATAACTTAGTGGTTTGAAGTGCCACTACCGCTAAGGTGGAAGTTCCGTTCTATCCTGGGAAGAATTTATCCGTTAACCTTGGGCAACAGTGAGGGGATAAGATTCTTTAAGGACACACAAGGAATTTGTGGGCTCGGGACATAATTCTGCCAATTTCTGTTCATTTATTTTTTCTGTTTTAGTCACTTATAAATTCAGAGTCTCTAACAAGCTTAAAGAATCTTAAAGGATTAAAACAGAAAAAATAAATGAACAGAAATTGGCAGAATTATGTCCCGAGCCCACAAATTCCTTGTGTGTCCTTAAAGAATCTTTTATATATATATATATATATATATATATATATATATATATATATATATATATATATATATATCCTTGTTGTTCTGATTTTCGAAGTGACTGGGGAGACTAAAACCTTCGTGGTTTTCTACTCCTAATCAGTTTGAAGAATAATCTCTTCACTGTGTTGTCTTGGGTTGAAGGATTAAATACTTCACCATTTACTCAATCTGTTTGTGTCATATTGACAGAAATGACTAACGGAGAGGAACAAATTGATCCTGCTGTGACTGTTACTGCTAACACAGCTTCGGGGATGCCAGGTCCTAGGCGTCCTACTGCACCTGCAACGGCTATGCCACCAGCGGAAAAGCCGGGGAAATTTTCTGGTGTTAACTTTAAGAGATGGCAGCAAAAGATGTTCTTTTATCTTACCACTCTAAGTCTGCAAAGGTTCATTCAAGAGGATGTTCCAGTCGTGCCTGAAGGAACCCCTGATAACGAGCGCTTCCTTGTTACTGAGCCTTGGAAGCACTCTGATTTCCTGTGCAAAAATTATATTTTAAGTGGGTTGGAAGATGGCCTGTACAACGTTTATAGCGTCATTGAAACATCAAGAGAATTATGGAATGCTCTTGAAAAGAAGTACAAGACTAAAGATGCTGGACTAAACAAGTTTGTCGCTGCCAAATTTCTGGATTTTAAAATGATTGACGGTAAATCTGTCATAACGCAAGTCCAAGAATTGCAAGTTATTGTTCATGACCTCCTTGCCGAAGGTATAAAACAAGTTAATATTTTTATTCAAAATATTAATTATTGTACTAATTATAAATTTATGATTGAAGGTATGGTCATAAATGAAGCGTTTCAAGTTGCGGCATTTATTGAAAAGTTGCCTCCGCTGTGGAAGGACTTTAAGAATTACTTGAAACATAAGCGCAAGGAGATGATGCTTGAAGACCTTATTGTTCGTCTACGGATTGAAGAGGACAACAAGGCTGCTGAGAAGAAAACTCGTGGAAATTCAACAATAATGAGTGCAAATATTGTTGAGGAAGCTTCAACGAGTAAAAAGAGAAATAAGCCATCTGGATCAAGGAATTATCCAAGCAAGAAGAGGTTCAAAGGTAATTGCCACAACTTTGGAAAGGTTGGACACAAGGCTACTGAATGTCGTGCACCAAAGAAGGACAAGAAGAAAAGTCAAGCAAACATGACTGAGAAGCATGATGAAATAGACGACCTATGTGCTATGTTTTCAGAATGCAACCTTGTCGGAAATCCTAGAGAATGGTGGATTGATTCAGGAGCAACTCGACATGTTTGTGCTAACAAGGAGTTGTTTACTTCTTATGCTCCCGCTGGACCCAACGAGACAGTGTTTATGGCAAACTCCGCTACTGCAAAAATTGAAGGATCGAGGTGGCTTTGAAGATGACTTCGGGAAAGATTGATGACTCTAAAAGATGTTCTTCATGTTCCTGAAATGCGAAAGAATTTAGTCTCAACATCACTTCTAGTCAAGAATGACTTTAAGTGTGTTTTTGTTTCCGACAAGGTTGTAGTTAGCAAGAATGAAATGTATGTAGGAAAAGGTTACCTTACTGAGGGCCTTTTTAAGCTCAATGTAATTGCCATTGATATGAATAAAATTTCAGCTTCTTCTTACTTGCTTGAGTCAAATAATTCATGGCATGAACGTTTACGCCACGTCAACTTCAAAACTTTGCGAAAAATGATTCATTTGGAAGTTACCTAAGTTTGAATGCAATAACTCGAAATGTCAAATATTTGTGGAATCAAAGTATGTTAAGCATCCTTATAAGTCAGTTGAAAGGAATTCAAATCCTTTAGACTTAATTCACATGGATATTTGCGACATGAAGTCAATGCCATCTCGCGGTGGGAAAAAGTATTTCGTAACTTTTATTGACGATAGTACTAGATATTGTTATATTTACTTACTTAATAGTAAAGATGAAGCAATAGACGCATTCAAGAAATACAAAAATGAAGTTGAAACGCAATTAAACAAAAAGATCAAAATGATAAGAAGTGATAGAGGCGGCGAATATGAATCTCCTTTTGAAGAAATATGTTTGGAAAAAGGCATTATTCACCAAACAACTGCCCCTTACTCACCGCAATCTAATGGAATTGCGGAAAGAAAGAATAGAACGTTAAATGAGATGATGAACGTCTTATTAATAAGTTCTGGTTTACCTCAGAACTTGTGGGGGGGGGGGGGGGAGCTATTCTTACAGCTAATCGAATACTGAATCGAGTTCCCCATAGCAAAACACAATCCATTCCATATGAAAAATGGAAAGGAAGGAAACCCAACTTAAAATATTTTAAAGTGTGAGGGTGTTTGGCTAAAGTGCAAGTTCCTAAACCCAAAAGGGTAAAAATTGGACCAAAAACCGTTGATTGCGTTTTCGTAGGATATGCAACAAACAGTAAGGCATATCGGTTTCTGGTTCATAAATTAGAAAATCCCGACATTCACATTAATACGGTAATTGAATCGGATAATGCTGAATTTTTTGAGAATATTTATCCGTATAAAATGGAATGTGAGTCATCTAATGAAAAATCTAAGCGACCTCAGGAAGAAGCAACGGAAAGTACATTTGGTGACGAAAATCCAAGACGTAGTAAGCGTCAAAGGATAGTTACTTCCTTTGGACCAGATTTTTTGGCATTCTTATTGGAAAATGAGCCTCAAACGTTCAAAGAAGCAATGTCTTCCTCGGAAGCACAATATTGGAAAGAGGCATTCAATAGTGAGATAGAATCCATATTAAGTAATCATACCTGGGAATTGGTTGATCTTCCTCCGGGAAATAAACCTTTAGATTCTAAATGGATTTTCAAAAGGAAAATGAAAGCTGATGGTACTATTGACAAATATAAGGCAAGATTAGTTGTTAAAGGGCTTAGACAACGAGAAGGTCTTGATTACTTTGACACATACTCGCCGGTAACAAGGATTACATCTATCCGGGTGTTAATAGCGTTAGCCGCCGTGTATGGCCTTCAAATCCATCATATGGATGTAAAGACGACCTTCTTAAATGGGGATTTAGAGGAAATGGAACAACCTGAAGGGCTTGTAGTTCCCGGGAAAGAAAAGAAGGTGTGTCGACTTGTTAAGTCACTTTACGGACTAAAACAAGCACCAAAACAATGGCATGCGAAATTTGACCAAACAATGTTGTCAAATGGTTTCAAGATCAATGAGTGTGACAAATGTGTTTACATTAAGAATACTCCAAATTAAATAGTCATTGTTTGTTTATATGTGGATGATATGTTGATAATGAGTAACGATATTGCTAACATAAATGCTACTAAGCGCATGCTTACTAGTAAGTTTGATATGAAAGACTTAGAAGTTGCCGATTTAATTTTGGGAATTAAGATCCTACAGACTCCTCAAGGTCTAGCTTTGTCTTAATCTCATTATATTAAAATGGTTCTTGAAAAGTTCAAATATTTGGACTTTAAAGAAGCAAAAACGCCAATTGATTTAAACCATATTCTTGTAAAGAATAAAGGTGAAAGCAAATCTCAATTGGAATATGCTCGAGTGTCGGGAAGTTTGATGTATATTATGAATTGTACACGACCTGATATAGCTTGTGCAATAAGCAAGCTTAGTCGATACACAAGTAATCCCAACCAAGATCATTGGATAGCAATGAAACGAGTTTTGGGATATTTGAAATATACTCAAGACTATGCATTGCATTACAATAATTATCCCGCAGTTATTGATGGATATAGTGATGCAAATTGGATCACCGAATCAACGAAAACAAAATCCACAAGTGGATACGTTTTTACCATTGGTGGAGGGGCAGTGTCTTAGAAGTCGTCCAAACAGACATGCATCGCTCGCTCTACAATGGAGTCTGAGTTTATAGCTTTAGACAAGGCCGGTGAAGAAGCTGAATAGCTCCGAAATTTCTTAGAAGACATTCCTTTTTGGCGCAAACCTTTGGCACCTGTATGCATACATTGCGACAGTCAAGCAGCAATAGGAAGGGCTGGGAGCGTTATGTATAACGGGAAATCTCGTCATATTCGACGAAGGCATAATACCGTTAGACAACTACTCTCTAGTGGAATTATTACTATTGATTATGTAAGATCAAAGGATAATGTGGCGGATCCGCTTACAAAAGGCCTAACTAGAGAGGGAGTTGAGAAGTCATCAAAGGGAATGGGACTATGGCCGAGGACAAGTCACTATGGCGGTAACTCTACCTAGAAGAGTGGAGATCCCAAGATCTAGGTTCAAGGAGATTAAACAAAGTCATTAGTGACGGTTCAACATTGTCAAATAAAATTTTGGTCCATTCTCGTGATGCAGATAATGTTCAGTACCAAGGATAAAGCGTTAGGACTTTTT